GATTGTTCCATCTTGTTTCCCTTTGGGGTTGCTGTAGGTGATCTGGAAGTCTGTTTTTGAGGCTTGTTTATGTGTCTTCTCATTTCCACGGGGGCCGGGGTGCTTTTGGCGCCCACGAGGCTCATCTTCTCTGCCCTAGGAGCCTGGGATGGAGGCGGGGAGCTTCCTTCTGAGCGCTGGAACGGGCTCACCTTCTCTGCCCTGGGAGCTGGGGATGGCAGCGGGGGAGCTTCCTTCCAGATGCTGGGACCGGCAGAGCTTCTCTGCCCTAGGAGCCTGGGATGGAGGCGGGGAGCTTACAAAGCCTGAATTTTGAAGCACATCTCACCTCCAGAATTTCAGATAAAGAATTATGGTCCTGCAGTTCTTCCTCCTTGATGCATGTACTTGTGTCTTTTGAGGAGTTAAATGTAAATATCCTGTTGCACAACAATAAATATCTGACAGATTTTTAAAGTAGCAAAAATCTTGTGAAGATTTTTTAAAATGGCCAAATACCCTATGAAGAAAACAACTCCTTAACTGCATAGGACTTCAGGAAAAGAAATAGTACCCTGATATTCTAGTGTGGAATGTGATAAAATAAGGATACCTAGACAAGCTGAGTTTTCATTTATTCTGGGTGGCTTTATGGATGAATGCCCATTGTAATGGAACCTTGATGGATAGATGGAGAAGTTGGGCTTAATTTCTTTGCCTTCCTCTGCCAGTTACTGACACAGCTCTCTTTGTAAGAGAAAGAAACCGAATCTGCTCAAGGGACTTTCTGCAGGATGGGATGGGTGGAGGGTTGGAAATACCCCAGGCAACCTGAGTTCTGTGCCCAGTCATCTTACCTTGAGAATCCTTTTGCCAAACATGTTGAACTCAGGGGACCTCGTTTTCCATTCCCATTTGCAGTTCCCCAAGGCCCTCAGCTTCTTGTCTTTGTTCCTTTGGCACTGTCCCAGGATACCAAAAAGTGACAACTCGCCAGCCTGGGGTTTCCTGTTTTCTGTGCCACCCACCAACCCTCCCCTACACCACTCCTTCAAGATTTCCTTGCATAGTCCTGTGTACAGCTGCATTCCACTAATAAAAGTACCTACTTATAATTATTATAACAAGTAGGCAAGTACTGCCTTGTTGGGGATATGGAGAAGGTATGGTCATGCTGCTTCATGGAGTTATTGTCACAGTTACATGAGATAAAGTAAGTGAGTGGTATAGTGTTTGGTGGGTACTAAGTGCCCAAAAGGTATATAATTATTATTTGTTCTTAACCAAACACTTACCTCTTGCAGCTGAGGATGAGAAAGTTCCTAGCCACTCCAGAGATCTCCTTTTGGGTCCTCTGCCACTACCTGAGGCAGCTCCTATCCCTCTAGCTCTTTCGAACTGGGTGCTGGTGCTGTGGGAAGGGCAGAGTAGGCTTTGGGGAAGCAGTGGTGGGCAGCACCCCAGGCCCCAGGCACGAGGGGAAGGGGCCAGGGGGTGGAAGTGGATTTTGGGACAGAGCATTAGCTGTGAAAGTCAGGCATGGAAGAAGCCATTGCCTTTATCAAGGTAGAATGTGATACTGTCTTTTGGAAGAACTTTGGAAGATTCAGCAATTGGTTTATTTCTAGCCAGTCGATCTGTAGGTGTAATCTCAAAATTGTGGCATTTCCTATGATGTAGTTATCAAGTCAGTGTGCGTTTTGGTTTTCCAGGGTCTGAGTGGCTCTTGGGCATCTTCTCATTGCCCAGTGGTGAGTGCTGTGGTGAAGTAGCCTCTCATGATGAGAAAGCAGAAGCTTTTCGTATTAGGACTGGAAGGGACCTTGACAGTCTCAAAGCTTACTCAGCAGATGAGGAAACTGACTGTGATATAGCAGGCTTCGTGACTCCCTGTAGGACTTTCCCTTTCTGTTCAAGCTGTCTCTCCTTTGAAGTGTGCCCAGCTTTTCTGCTTTTACAAGTTTCCTTGGTCTTCACGCTCAAGTGTCTGGTTTCCCACTCTTTAGATCTGAGATGGAGCATGAGAAGAATGATTTTGGTTGGCTCATGGGAATAATTGTTTTGTTCTTAGCAAAAAAAATTTTGAGTTCAAAGGGGACTCTGATGGTCATCTTGTTATTAATATCCTTCTATTGCGGATGGAGAAACTGAGGCCAGAAAGTTTCAGTGGCTTGTGAAATCAGGTGTGGCTTAACCCATAGAGGAGCCCATAGAGAAGACTATGTGTGTCTTGTTCACACATAGTAGATCCAAGCACAGAACCCAGAATAGAGTAGAGATTTGAAACTGAATGAAGGAAGGAAGCCAGAACTAGAATCCAGGTACTGTAACTCTTGGTCCAAGGCTTTTTCTTTACAGTAATGTAAAGAGTTATCTTTCCAATATTTACCTCCAAATCTTAGCTGTAAGTCTTCATCCTTTCCCCTGAAGGCAAGAGGCCCTTTCTTCTGCTATCTTTCATGGACCTTGTTGTTTTGAGGGCAGAAAAATCCACCCACAGAATAAAAAAGAATTGTTATAACAAGTAAGCATGTGCTGCTTTATTGAGGATACTAAGAGGAAGTCTTAGTGAACTTTTTCAGTGCAGAGATTTTAAAAACCCAAATCCACCCATGAAGCTCTTTTTAGAGATGAACTAAATTGAATTGTGTTTCTACAACGAGTGCTTCAAATGCATCTAAGAATTGTGTATATATCCAATTCCTAATATCAAACTAGTTTATCACATTCTAAATCATTTCACAGGTACCTTAGTTCATTTTCTGTTGCTGCAATAAAATGTTCTATCTAGACTGAATAATTTAGAAAGAACAGGAGTGTATTTACTCATGGTTCCAGAGGCTGGGAAGATAGAAGGATGGCTCTGGCCTCCACTTGACATCTGGTGAGGGCCTTCTTTTTGCATTGTGACATGGCATAGGACATCACGTGGTGGAGACAGAGCAAGTGTCCCAGCTGAGGTCTCTGACTGCTTTTTTTTTTTTGTGATGCTGGAGATCTAGCCAGGGAGGGGCTTATGTGTGTGGGCCAAGTGCTCTAACACTGAGCAGCATCCCCCACCACAGCTCAAGTCTCTCTTCCTCTTCTTATAATACTGTCATAATAGCCTTACCCTCATGATCTCATCTAGTCCCAGATGTCTCCCCTCAAAGGGCCCCCTCCATACACTATTAACATTCAAATTTGGGGATTGAGTTTCCAACCCATAGATTTTGGGAGACACATTCAAACTGTACCTGTCTTTAGTGATAGAGTGTTGCTAGCACCTCAGTAAGTATTGTATGGCCCAGGGCCAGAGTACCTAACCCAGGGCTTAGGGTGGAGAAACAAGAATCTAGTACAGGTTGGGCAAGCTTTCTGGAGAAAATCAGTTTAACTTCACACATGCACAGCTATGGTATAGTTAGCCAGATGCAAAGAACTAGTTGTCACAGGAGAGAGGATGGGCCATGCTTTGGATGTGGCTTGGGTGTGTCCCCAGGGATTCATATGTTGAAATTTAACCTCTATTGTGGGTATTGAGAGGGAAGCTTCATCTCACTAAGGCATCTGACTATGGTGGGGCTTTTGGGAAGTGATTAGGATCATATAAGGTCATCAGGGCCTTATAAGGTCATATAAGGCCTTTATGATTAAATACTAATGGCTTCATGAGAAGAGGAAAGGAGACCTCAGGAATGATACACCCCCCCCCAACACATAAACACACACAAGGACTCATGTGTATTTGTGCACACGTGCTCCTCTTGCCATGTGATGCCCTATACCTTCTTGGGACTCACAAAAGGCCAGATGCAGGCCTTGAAACTCTCAAACCGTGAACTAAATAAACTTCTTTTTCCTTAAAAGTCACCCAGTCTATGTTATTGGCAACAGAAAAATACTGGAGGAATAAGCAAGTAAAGCTGCAGCAGTGGCTCCCAAACCCGAGTGTGCAGGAGCCCTGCTGGAGAGCCGACAGCCAAGGTACACGTTGTAGGCCCTGCCCCAGAGAGGCTGCAGCTGTAGGTTTGAGGGGGAATTTGCTTTTCTCCACATTTCCCAGTGATCCTGGCCAGTTATCAAATGTGAGCAGGAGAGCTGGGAGAAGAGGTGGAAGAAGGAAGTAGGTTGTGTCCTCTTTAGCCAGAATTCCCTCTCAGCTTCTTGGGCTGTCCATACCCTGTCCTTTGCTCATACTTAGGCTGAGGTCAAGGGTGACATGTCCAGGAAACACTTCTGCGTATTCCTGCTCACTGTCGCCTCTGTGAATGCACATGTTCCATGAATACATGTTACAGCTGTTCCGTGTTATTTAACCCTTAATTACATGCACGGTTTTGCATTGTGTGTGTTTTGTCTAACTAGGCCATCTTGAAGCAGCTAAGTATGTGAGATGTGCTCCAGTATTTGGTTTCTTGCTCAAATTTAATTTCTGCAAGCACTGTGGGGAGTAAATGGCTGAATTCTCTGTTTTTTTAGAAGTGAGGAAACTGAGACGAAAGAAGAACAAATATGAACAGAAGTGAGATTTCTTTCTCAATTCACAGTGGGGAAGCCAAAGTTAGATATTGTTCTCAAATCTGTGCCCTGTATCACTGGTAGAAGGAAAGTTTTAGATTTACTTTGTCTCATTTTTCATTTTTATTCCATCTACTTAAAGAGCAAACCAAGGCATCTTAATGAATTGAACACAAAGTTTTGTTTTTAGTGGGAATTGGTGGTTTATCTTAGGAATTCATCAGGAATCATCCACTAGCTTTTAAAGTAAATATTTAAAGGGGGTAATTCAATTTACATGTCATTCGATTTAGAAAGCATTTGTATACAATTTTGGCATGGTAAAGATAGGAAGGATAAATAGCTTTCAGTTGCTAAAAAGAGAAATTAGACAATTTTGCCATTGACCTTCTTAACTAGGAAAGTTTATCTGAGTGGTTGAAGATTCATAAATACATGATAGGTAGGGCTAAAAGCAAACCAACAAAAAATTTATTTCAGTACTGGTAACATGCCAAGCCTTCCTCACTCATATGTATACACAAACATAATGTGGTTTTCTGAGATTCTTTTAGAGAGTGGAAATTTGAAGAATTCATTAGTAACTTGTGGACACTAATTTTCAGTCTCTAATAGGCCTCTTAACTGCATGTCCCTAACACAGCTCTGTGAATTCTCCACATTATAAAAAATGGCAGGCCAGGATTGCCTGGCACTGGCAAGGTGGCAGATGGCTACTGAGCAGCGTTCCTTCACTTTTCATTGCAAGTTTGTGCTATACACTTGTGTGGCCTGAATGCTTTTCTTGTTTCCTCAGTTCTTTCCCTTTCCTCCCCCTCTGTGAAGGACATGACACAAAACAGCCACGAAACAACACAGGCCTTGGCCAGTGCTGAAAGCTGAGTGATAGAGCCAGGAAACTGGTCTTGAGGGGGAAACTTACTTCACATGTATATTTGCCAAGTCAGTATCTTTCATTAGTCTGGCAGGCAAAACTTGCAGATATTTTTTTTACCTACAGTGTGCAGTTAATTTAAGAATGCAGTTTTCCTTATTTGAGATACTGCTAGGTATTGTGTCAGATAAAAAACAAATTTAGTTTCTATCCCACACAGACTTGTGATTGAGAAGGGAGAGATAAGCTATGAACAGCTATGTCCTTCTGGTACAATGGGGAATGGGCATGGCGTACAAGAGAATCACAGACCAAGTGCTGTGTGGGATCACAGAGGAAGGAGACTTTCCTTCTGATGAGTGGGGTGGAAGGGACTTCATAGCGTAGAACTTGGTATGGAAGTGATCCTTATAGGAGTGTTGGGGACAGCGTACTGGTCACATGTCAGCCTGAGCAGAGGCGTGGAGATGGAGCAGGAAAGTCAGTGCAGATCCGTGGGGACAATGGCTCCTTGGTGAAAGCTGTATGAGAAGGGAACCTACAGGGGACACTGAGGCTCGGCTGTGAAGCACCTGATATTCTTCACTTTGTTGTGCAGGCAATGTGGGCTGAGGATGGGTTGTGGGTGGGAGGACATAGAACCAGACTAGGCACTGCCCTGTGACTGGGCCCCCAGGTGCTGAGCTGAAGAGGATCTGAGTTTGCCACAGGGCCCCATGCAAACAGGGAGAGAGAGAGAGAGAGAGGGAGAGGGAGAGGAGAATCAAGCAAATAATACTTGTTTTGTCCTGTATACATTGCTGGAGGATAAAATGAATAATATAGTCCTTTGTATGTAACACAAATATGACCAATTCAATATAAGTCTCATGCAATTTCTAAGATATATAAATAGAAACAGTTGTTTTTGGTTTAAGGAATACTGGGAAATGAGACCTAGGAAGTAAGTGCAGTGTATATGGCCTTATTAATGGTGTGAAAGGCAAGAGATGTTCATTAATGGTAAAAGCTAGCTAATTATTTGTCTTCAGTTAGAGTAAATCCTTGGAAATTATACAAATCAGTGTGACTACTGGGTTCTGAACTGTTAAACTCACTCACCCTTTCCTCCCTCCCTCCCTCTGTCTCTCTCTCTCTCTCTCTCTCTCTCTCTCTCTCTCTCTTTCTTTCTGTTTTGAGGATTGACCCAGGGCCTTTGTTCTGCATCTGCAGCCTTTCTGTCTTTCCTTTTTTCTTTTAATTTTTTATTTAGAGACAGGCCTTTGCTAAGTCAGTAAGTTGCCTAGGCTGATCTTGAACTTGTGATCCTCCTGCCACAGCTTCCCACAGTGCTGGGATTATGGGTGCACACCCCACTCTAAGCATTTATTTTTAGAAGACTATAGAATATTTTCATTTTTTAGCCCTGTTGTTGGTCAAATCCACATTGTTTTCTTCTACTTCCAGAGCTGGAGAGCTGTCAGTGCTAGGGTGATCAATGTCTGTAAATAAAACGCGCAGATGAGCCTGGGAATGATTTTTGAATTCCGGCTTGGTTCTAGGATCCATTTCTGTCACTTTCTGGGAGTTCCTTTCTCAGTCTCTCAGTGTTTTAGAATGTGATTGAATAGCTTTTGGGCAAAGAAAAACAACCAGTGTGAAAGTCATGTACTGTCTTAGTTACTTTTCTTGTTGCTGAGACAAAAAAAAAAAATCAGACACCCAAAGTTAAAGGAGGAAAAATTTATTTAGCTCAGTTTATAGAGGTTTTAGTCCATAATCGGCTGGCTCCAAGGCAGGGTGACTTCGCAGAGGAGAAACAGTTTATGGTGGACAGAAGGTAGCAAAGCAACAAGGGAGAGAAAAGGCAATCCTCTTTCTGTCCCTTATATTGTATGCCGCTACCAGGATTAGGGTAATGCCAAAGCAGTGTACTGATTTAGTAATCACACACCCTTAATCCCAGCATCACACTGTCTAGATTCAGCCACCTCTGAAAAAGCCCCATCTGTGACTGCATAATGTACCTTGATGCTTTCTTATTATGAAAGTAGTAGTTACACAAACTGTGGACGTGGTGTCTCAGGATGGGTAGGAATGGGAGAAGACTTGAGAGAGGAAAGATAATTGTTTTGCTTGACCCGTATGATAGACTAGTTGGCCTTTTCATGCTAGTTCAGTGCTGCACCTTGAAATCTTAATATGTAAAGACTCTTGATGTTGAGTCAGCGTGGTATAATAAAAATGTATGTATTTTGTCTCTGTTCTTGATTTCTGGCATAGAACTTCTAAAATCCTTAGGGATTATTTTATGGTAGGAACGTCTTTTGCTATTTACAATGAGCCCTATTTAGGCAGCACTTAAGTTTTTGCCAGTGAGTTAACTCTTGGTGGGGCACCTAGATAGCTTTAGGATGGAACTGGTTGCCTAGGAACCAACCATGTGTCTACAAGGTGGGTGCTTTCACCCTGGCCTCTGATTGAGGGGAGGTTGGGTTCAGACACTAGCACGCAATGGCTTAGTCAGTCTTAGCTATGTGATAGAGCTTCATAAAAACCCTGAGACTCCGAGGCTGCAGGAGCTTCTGGGTGGTGATCACAGGATGTGCTGGGAGGTGGTGCATCCAGAGAGGGCATGGAAGCGCTATCCTCCCTCTATACTTTGCCCTTTGTCTTTTGCCCCGTACAGCTCTTTCATTTGGCTGTTATGGAGTTGTAGCCTTTGTAATAAATCTGTGATCATAAATATAGTATATTCCTGAATTCTACAAGTCATCCTAGTAATTACTGAAACTGAGGGGGGAATCATGGGAGCCCCCAGATTTGTGTCGGCTAGGCAGAAGTGTGGTTGTCCTGGAGACCCTGTTTGAGGTTGGTGTCTGAAGTAGGGGTCATCTTGTGTGACTGAGTCTTTTACCTGTGGAGTCAATGTTTAACTCTAGATATTTAGTGTCAGAATTGAATTGAATTGTAGGACACCCAGTTGGTGTTGGAGAAGTGGGTATTGGAGAAATGAAGCCATCAGGTTTTTCTCATTGGGAAAACCTTACTTATAATTTTTGAAACATTGTGCCTGGAGTAATCTCTGAAATTACACTTGTTTTTTATTTTGAAAAAAGCTTAAAAGCATTTAAAAAAAATCAGTTGGAAAAAAAATAGATTAGGCCAGGCCTTACTATCTTAT